ATAAAATAAAAAAAGCAAATTATGTACTTACAACACACAAGGCACAGAATATACATTACTGTTCCTAACAGGAGGAATTGGGGCATAGTGAAGAAGTACATCCAAGCAAGACTGAAACCCAGCAGGGCAAACATCCAATCCTGTAGCTCTGTGTCTGAGGTCAAAGGGCTTGGATGGGTCTGCTTTTCCAGTTTTCCTGCTTGCAACATTCATCTCTCTCTCTCTTGGGCTGATTCCACTCCAACTACTCAACTCTCCTTGGCAAATATCTCATGGCTCTGGCATTTCCAACATCTTGGAGTATCCAATGCACCCGAGTCTTCTCTTTCACAGCTCTGTGCAGTGAACTTTCAGAGCCTCTGCCTTCTCAGAGCTTTCATGCAAGGATTCCCATACTGTTGGCTGCCTGGCCTCAGCAGGTATCTGAAACCACAGCGGAAGAATCCATGACCCCCTCATGCTTGCCTCCTCTATTCCTCTAAAATCAGCACAATGTGGACGACACTGCCAAGTTTAGCTACCAGCTTGGTCCCCCCCTTGAGTCACATTAGCAGCAGCTTCTAGTCAGGTGTTTTCTAGGGTAGGAAACATCGTCTGCTCTTTCACAAGTTAGGAGCTTGGCTGGGTGGAGTCTTGCCTTGAGGACACCCTTCCCTTTGTTCCAATATGGAGAAAGAGGCCTCTCCTTTAGTAAGGGCGCTAATCTTGTCTCTTTCAGCATGAAACTTGGCTTCAATACCATTTCTTCTTGCTAATTTTCCCTTCAAGCTCTTCATTTTGTACTTCTTTCTCCTCCACTCAAGCCGTTTCATTGCAAAACCACGTAACAGTCATTAATGCTGGTCACAGCGCAGATTCTAGATTATGATGCCTTTCAATCACCTCTGCTCCCCCAAAAAAATCAGCACACAACTACTGTGGGATGGTCTGTATGTCAAATGTGTTGCTGATTGGTCAATAAATAAATCACTGATTGGCCATTGGCTAGGCAGGAAGTATAGGCGGGACAAGGAGGAGAATAGAGCTGGGAAGTGGAAGGCTGAGTGGGAGAGACACTGCCAGCCGCCATCAGGACAAGGAAGATGTAAAGTACCGGTAAGCCACAAGCCACGTGGCAAGGTATAGATTAATAGAAATGGATTAATTTAAGCTGTAAGAACAGTTAGCAAGAAGCCTGCCACGGCCATACAGTTTGTAACCAATATAAGTCTCTGTGTTTATTTGATCGGGTTTGAGCGGCTGTGGGACTGGCGGGTGAGAGAGATTTGTCCTGACTGTGGGCCAGGCAGGAAAACTCTAGCAACAAATGGCATCCAACGTGGTGGCAAGAGTTTCCACCTAAAAACTGAGAAAAAAGATTCTAAAATGGAGCTAAAAACAGCTTCCTAATTGTCTCTCTCAAATGAGCGGCAGCTGCCGGTTTGAGCTACTGGCGGGTTCCTAGCGTGTGCGCTCGACCTGCCCCCGTATGGCGGGAATGAAGCCTCTGCAAGTGGCACATTAAGCTACATTGTGGATTTAGCCTTTCCTAGTACAAAACAAAAACAGAGGTTTCTGGGCTACTTGCTGCTTGGATAAAAGCATAGACCCACGATGGCTCCCAGAGCTGGCGGTAAGCATACTGCCGCCATGTTGGGAAGCTGAGGTGGGCGGAGCCAGCAGCCACAGCTGCTGCAGCTTAAAGCAATAGATTCACAATAAGACAGATTCAGATGTAATAGTTTAAAATGTGTGTAAAATATACGTAGGCTTGAAAGAGACAAAAAAAGGTGATATATACAGTATAGAAACAAATACATGGTTTTAAAAAATAAAGTCTTTAAAGAGACAGTAAAATTAATATAAAAAATAAGCCACGTAGAGATGACTATTACACAGAGAGTCTGGATTGTGTTGTCTTTGGGATTCTTAACTACAGAGAGATATTTGATTGTAAAGGAAGCTGAGTTAAACCAGTATGTATATTTTAAAGATACTTTGACTTCAAAATTTGGATGTAAGGATATGTTGCTTTGGAAAAGAGTCTCTTTTGTTTCCACAGAAAGCAAGAGGCTATGGATTTGTTCCAGAGTAAGATACATCAGGTTTGACCAGCCAAGACCTCCTGAAAGGTCTCCGATGACACCATGGCCCAGATGATCCAACATCCAGAACCGTTTCAAGACAACTGGCTCAGATGATACAGCCTCACGGACTACTCCATGATCCTAAAATTTTCTTTGTTTCCCCAGAAGATACAGCGCCCCCCTCCAGCAGGAAGTAGTAAGAGAAGCTACGCCCAAATTCCCAAATATACCAAGCTGACTTTGGAGATGTGTAAAGGTTAAAACCTTCCTTTTTAAGAAAAGAAAAGGGGAAGTACTGTGGGATGGTCTGTATGTCAAATGTGTTGCTGATTGGTCAATAAATAAATCACTGATTGGCCATTGGCTAGGCAGGAAGTATAGGCGGGACAAGGAGGAGAATAGAGCTGGGAAGTGGAAGGCTGAGTGGGAGAGACACTGCCAGCCGCCATCAGGACAAGGAAGATGTAAAGTACCGGTAAGCCACAAGCCACGTGGCAAGGTATAGATTAATAGAAATGGATTAATTTAAGCTGTAAGAACAGTTAGCAAGAAGCCTGCCACGGCCATACAGTTTGTAACCAATATAAGTCTCTGTGTTTATTTGATCGGGTTTGAGCGGCTGTGGGACTGGCGGGTGAGAGAGATTTGTCCTGACTGTGGGCCAGGCAGGAAAACTCTAGCAACACACAACTTTTGAATTTAGCCTGAGGCAAGTTCTCAGGACAAGGGTAGAAGACAGCCAGATACTTTGCCCAAATATCACAAGAATGGTCTCCAGCCCAGTTGCTAATACTGTTCCTCTCTGAAACCTCTTGAGCTGGGTCTCCCTAGTCCACATGACTCTCAACACTGTCTTCTTATCTCCTGCTAGGGCAGCCCTTTAAACTCTACGTAGAGAGTTCAACTCCTTTCTGAGCCTAAACTCCTGAAGTCTTTTTTACATTTTTCTTGAACACAACGTGGCCAGGGTCTACATAGTAACAGTCGCTCTCCACAACTTCTGTATTAGCTGCTTTCATGCTGCTGTGACAAAACACCATGACCAAGGTGCCTTGTAGGAGGAAGAGTTTACCTGGACCGCGGCTCCAGAGGTTCATGGTGAGGAAGGATGGCAGCAAGCCGCAGGTGTGGCAGCAGAAAGCTGAGAGATCACGTCTCGAACTGCAAATGCCGGGCAGAGGCAATGAGCCGGAAGTGGCTCCAGGATTTAATTTCTCAAGTCTGCCCCCAAGTCACGTACTTCCCCCAGCAAGGCCACACCTCCCAAACCTCCCCAAACAGTGCTAACCGTGGCTGCCAGCCCAGGGGAGGGCATTTCTCCTTCAAGTCACCACACCTCGGTGTCTTGCAGTTTTGCTTTTTCATCCGGCTTTATAGCCATTACCATTTAATTGTGTTTTTATGCTGTATTTAGGATGATCGTTATCGATGATCTAATTTAAATTTACCATTTTGTTATTACAAGTTTTTTTTTAGCAATTCAATATTTCTTTTTGTTCTATTTGTTCTCTCTTATTGGTTTATTTCTTGCTTAGAACTCAGTGAATTTTTGTTTGAGTGGTGAATTTAGAGTTTACACGATACACTCTTAACATAGTGTAGCTTCAAGCAATATTAGTTAACTTCAAAAAGAAGTATAAGAATTTTCTGAGAGTATATTTCCATCTCTCCACTGACATCTGTTTCCTTGAGGCATTTTTCTTCTTCGTGTATTATAAACTGCACGTGATGGTTAATATTGACTGTCGACTTGACAGGCCATCTAGGAGACAAGCCTTCAGATACACCTGTGAGGGGACTATTTAGATTACTTTCATGTCCACGGGGGATTAATTGACTAGGTTAAATGAAGAAGGAAACGCGACTGTACGGGAGGGTGGCACTGTTCCTTGAGCTTGGCTCCTGGGCTGCACAAAAGGAGGAGGGTAGGCAAGTGTGAACGTCCATCTCCCTTTGTCTCCTGACCGTGGACACAGTGGGGCCAACTACTTCAAACTCCTGCAGTCTCAATTTTCTGCCATGATGGGCTGTGCTCTCAAACTCTGAGCCAAAATAACCCCTCTCTTAAGCTGCTTTGGTCAGGTTTTTTTTTTTTATTTTTATTTTTATTTTTTATCATGGTACTGAGGAGAGCAACCAAGATACAGCACAACACATTGGGATTGTTTTTGCATTTATCAAACAATCATTACTCAAAGGGGCTTAAAGTCCAAGGAAATTTCATCTTCTATGGTTACCATTATGAGGTGATGAAATTTCCAGTTCTGTTCATTTCTCTGTGCTGGTCGACCTGTAAACGTCACACAGCTCTCCTTGTACCATAGGGTTTCATCTTCCATTTCTTATAATGCTTGTCTACCTGATATTACATTAAGTCTTCTGGTTTAATATGTCCAAAAACTCTACACTGTGTCATAATTTGTAGACAGTGTTGTTGTAGAATATTATTTCAAGGTGTTTTACTTTTGTCTATGCTCTGGAATGTTTGTTTAATGATGCAAAGATGTGTTTGATTAAATAAAATTCACCTGTGGTCAGGAGACTGCGTCAGCAACTAGCTGATAGGAAGTGGTAGGGAGGAGCCAGGTGAGAGAGGGTTTATAAGGAGGGGTGAGGAGAAGCATGAGGGCTTTTTGGAGGATGCAAGCAAGGAGAGGAGGTGAGCTATTTGCTATTCAGCCCCTGAAGAGCAGAATTCCACCTTAACCTTTGAATCTTGAGTTCTTTAGAGGGACAGAGGTTTAGTTAAGTTCCTTTCATAGCTTTGTGAGAATTGGAGCCGGAGGGAACAGATTTTCCTCCAGCTACAGCCCTTGTGGCCTAACAGCTGCTGGTAGTGGTGGAGTTGCAGTTGCTGATTTGAACTGTTGTGGCTTAAAAGGCAGCAACCGTTTTAAAAAAGGACAACACAATGTTCTTGTTTCTCTCTTTCAGTATCATGAGAGTCTTCTTCCATTCTCTCAGGATCTCCTTGGTGGAGTAGGGACAGTTCCTGTCTCTGAAGTAAAGGGTCAAGAACTCCTGTAGCAGCCCTGGTTTTCCATCGCTGAGCTCCAGCTCACAACTGGGATAGAAGGTGAAGCTTCAGTTACACGAGGCTGGGAGCAGAGGGAAGAGGCCTGAGTTCTCTCTGCTTCCCGAGCTTCCAAGCAGCTTCAGGTGCCTGCCACATGGACACGGCTGCTTCTGATACCATGCCTTCCTCATCAGGATGGACCTGGTCCTCTCAAACCAAAGTTCAAGTAAGCGCTCCCTCCCCGGAGCTACTTGGTCACTTGGACAAAATAAACAACCAACACGTTGACCTTGTCGCTCTCTCAGACCATGTCCCATGAACTGGTTAGGCAGCACCTTGTCTGATTTGTTTGATGCTTGGCTGCATGCTTCCCCAGGGCTGGGAATGGAGCCCCTGCCTTCCCAATTTGTCACCCACAGCACAAGTCCTCTTCCTCAGGGGTATACCTCTTTGCTGCAGGAGACCCAAGTGGGCACTTGGGTCTTGCCATTTTCTCTTGCCATTCCCATACACGTGCTCAGCTTCTTTGCACTGGCTTCATTTGTCACCCCTAAAAAGAAAAAAAATTATTCTGGATGGTGGTGGTGCATGCCTTTAATCCCAGCACTTGGGAGGCAGAGTCAGGTGGATCTCTGTGAGTTCAAGGCCAGCCTGGTCTACAGAGCAAGATCCAGGACAGGCACCAAAACTATACAGAGAAACCCTGTCTTGGAAAAAAAATCGCTTTGCAAGATGATACCAGTGTTTTTACTCCTCATTCATTCATTCTTTCACCCCTCATTCTCTTATTTGCCCATTATTCAATAGTTGTCCTTGCCTATATGTCAGCTTCACGAAGGCCATGGCTTGGTTTTTCTCACCACTGCATCTTGAGTGTAGGATGAGCAGAGGGTACCCATGTACTCAGGATGGAAGGAGGGAAAGAGGGAGGGGACGGGAGGAGGGGGAAGAGAGTGGAAGAAAGGGGCTGCAAGAAAGGAAAACGGAAGAGGGTGGGAGGAGGGAGAGAGGAGGGGTGTGAGAGGGAGGAAGAGACTTATTTGCTGACTTATTTGCAGGGCAGCTCTGGGGCCCTGTAGGTTCCCACTGTGGGTATTCAGCCTGCCACCCAGGAAGTTCTATACGTATCCCCTTTTACCCAGTGGGACCAGCTTGGGGTAACTTGTAGGACTCCCCTTAATTTTCTTAAGGTCTCCTTGACCATCCTGGACGGGGTCAGACGCAAGTACAATGCAGCCCTTTTAGCAGAGTCAGGGCTGTAGGCAGTGGATGGGGCCCTGCTGACCCTCTGACACAGACTTTCCTTGTCTCACAACCCCCTCCTTTCTTGCGCTATGGCAGAGCTACTTCCTCAGCTGCCCCAACCGCCCATGTCCTGCCCTCCCCCACAACCTAAGTGTCTTCTTGCATGACCTCCCTTCTGCGGAGTGGGCTGTGCATTTCAGTGTGCACATACAGCTGTGCAGTTCTTCATGGTTTGCCATCGCTGCGAACCTGGCTTCCAACTCCCCTCCCCTTTGCTATGACTTAGTAACTAAGGGGTGAAGATCAGAAATTGGATAATGACCCAGTGTTGGGGGGTGTTTGTGGTTAAAGGGGCCTCCCTGGGTTTGTTCTCACAGCCTCCAATTTGACATGTGCAAATAATTATCCTCTCACTTTGTTATGCAGGGGGGTGGGAGGGTGGGGGGGAGGGGGGCACATCTGGGGCCTGTAACTTCCAGGGCCAGAGAGCCTTGTTCTTGTACCTGACTTCCTCCACTCTCAAGGGCTCCATCAGCAGAGCGTTCACCAGGAGAGGATCCCCCTCCAGGTTGTGAAACACCCACAAGCATCCATCCCTCCCAGGTAGCCATTGCTGTGACTCCACTCTTGAGAACAGGATACCAAGTCAGAGCACAAACCAGCCTGGAGTCAGGCCACAGGGGACTGGCTGCTTCACAAGCTCTGTGACAGGGAAATTGTGTGTCTGAATTTCCCTGGGTACCTCTGGTTACTCTAGAATTCTCCATTTTATCTTTCCTGCATTTTTTTTCCAATTTTTTTTTCAGAGTGACCACTTGGATTATTTAAGAAATACTGAAAAATCATTCCTTCAAATGAATCAAATTTACCAAAATGTCATTAGGACACAGTGTCTGTCAGGATCACCATGGCATTGGGTAAACTTTTTTATTTAAGGAAGAAATGAATGTAAAATTTATTTTTAAAATTTAAAATTACAGACTTAGCCTCCCTATTTATATTGTTGTTAAGGATACAAGCAGACTCATTCCTAAAATTTTATTTTTCATAAATGCATTTTAACCCCACTATAATGCTGTCTTTGACTTCTTTGCTATAGGTTTTAAATTTTTTCCATATTTTAACCTTATTTTCTAGAATATGCTATATTTCTAGCCTTTTATGTTTAACTTGCAATTTAACAAATATAATTTTATTAAATATTTTTTAACTTTTTATTGCTTTTATAGTCTTTCTGAATTAAGTAAAGAATAGCCAGATTTATTTATTAAATACACTCCCCTTTATATTGGTTATTATTATTTATAAATTGTATTTTTAAACACAAATTTAATTTTAAACCATGTATGTTATAATAATGGAAGTTATAGGCTCACAATTGGAGTTATTATGTAGTTCAGGCTGCCTTGAATTCTATCATCTTTCTGCCTCTGGATGGATGGAGTTCAGTCGAGTGTATCATTATGTTGTTTTGCTGTTTTGTTTTGTTTTTGAGACAGGGTTTTTGTAGACCAGGCTGACCTCAAACTCATGATCCTGCTGCCTCAGCCTCCAAATGCGTATGTTTACATAGACATACTTCATACATCTTCTTTCCTTTGCGATCACTTTTCTCCTTGTTAAAAAGACACTCTTAAACTATGCCAGCTGCCATTCCCAATTTCACTGTGTTTGAAAATGTTCTCCACATTAAAGATAGATTAGCTGGGTAAAGAATTTTTGTTGAACATCCCATTCCCTCAACCCACTGCAGGCTCCACTCAGCACTCTCTGCCATCTCTTTATTGATACCTTTCTCCTCATGACCTAATTGGCGATGGCAGTGGTCTGTTTCCCCTCTGGTGGCTTTCAGCTTTCCTAGACTCTAGCCTTCTGGACTTTCCTTGGCCTTCATCTCAATATGAACTTAGTTCGTTTTGGAATTTTCATGTCTACTCATTGCTTTGGAAATCATTTTTCCTTCTCTAACTCGTTAACAATAAACATCTGGTTTTCGTCATTTCAAATATTGTCCTATTCAAACTTCGTGCTATTTCTCTCTCTATAGGAATTGGAGATCCGTGGGTTCCTATCCACGTCATGACTTTGCTGCAAATCCATTCTCCTGAATTACTTAGAGATTCTCTTATTTTACTTAATATTTGTCTTACATGTCTACCTAAAGCAAATCATTTTATTTTTCTATACATTAAAATAGAAAAAAATTAATTATGTGTGTGTATGTGTATCTGTGTGTGGGTGTGCATGTATGCTGGTGCTCACAGAGGCCAGAAAGTGACATTGGATACTCTGGCCCCGAATTATAGGTGGTTGTGACTCCCTAACATGGGTGCCGGGAACCGAACTTTGGGCCTCTGGAAAAGCAGCAAATGCTCTTAAATTCTGAGCCATCTCCAGCCCTGATAACTTTGTTTTAACGAATATATTTTTTCCCATTGTTTCTAGTCAGCTCTCTTCTCTCCATCGCTATCATTTCAAGAGAGCTTCTTCTATTTTACAGATGTTCCATTACTTCCTGCAGGTTTTCAAACCAGCTTGTGCCTGTTTCTTCATTGTGTTCCTATTTGCATTTTGTTGAGAATGAGTTCCATTCTCCAGCTTTGATATTTATGGTTGCCTTTCTTTGTGTTCTTTCACTGTTTTGCTTTGAAGGGTTTGTTGCCTTCTACCTGTGGACTGACCCTGTTCTGCTAGCCTCTTGATTCCTGGGGGAGCAGAACCTTGAACCCTTGAACTTATACATGGATAGCAGGTCACAGTAGGTCCTGAGTTGATCTGGAAGTGGATCAGAGCCCAGCGGGTCCTGAGTGGGTCTGGAAGGGGAGCTGAGATCCAGCTGCCTTGCCACAGGCTGTGTTGAGGAGTCACAACTCTCCTTTGAGTCCCAAGGGATGATGTTTTTGGAAAGGAGGTAGTACAGTGGAGTTAGGTTGATGTGTGTATAGGGTTTAATCCATGGGAGCAGATTAGAAAAGGTTCTTATGCACAGGTAAATGAGAACTGAATCAATCTGGAGGAGCTAGGGACAAGCTGGGCATTAACTTGGGAGATATGTTTCCTGTGGCAGAATCCAAGGAAGTGATGTGGAAACAAGATGCCAGGAGCCAGAGAAACAGAGGGTCAGGAGTGGAATTGAGTGTCTAGTTTGGGATACTTGCAATAGGTGAGACAGTGTCGCTCCAGCCTTGTGTGGGAGCAGCAGGGGTGACCTGAGAGTGCACTGTGCATGAGAATTCTCCCACTTATTCCAGGACAGCTTGCTCAGAGACCCCAGTGGTCTGTGTTCATAGCCCTTCAGCACATCTTGGTTGATACTGGAGCCTGAGCCCCTCTAAGGTAGGAAATATGAGTAGAAGAACAAGTTAGGGTAAAAAAAAAAAATTCAGTGTGCTTGATTTGTTTATTTTGGGATTTGGATTGTATGTGAAGAATCAGGCAGCCAAGCCGGTGTGGATTATGGGAAATCTGACAGTTTCAGGTGGACATTTATTGGTTTATCAGATGTGTTCATTTGGCCAGAATTTATCCCTCTCTTCCTCCATTCCCTTCTCCCACTGTCTTCCTCCTCTCCCACTTCATTAGCTCCTTGTTGTTGTTGACATGGCGTCTGTCTATGTAGCCCGACTGGCCTCTCTCTATGTCAATTTTCCTGTTCCAGCCTCTCAAATGTTAAAATTACAGGTGAGCTAACACGTCTGGCCCGTTTGGTCAGGATCTCTAAAATTTTATTTTATAAAGTTATGTTAAACGGTATTGGTGTCTTACAAAGTTTCTTTCTTTGTACCACAGTTAGGAATGATATATGAAGAGAAAAAGGAAAATTTCTTTCTCAAGCTTAATTAAGGTGCTTGATTGAAATAATATTTGAATTTCCACTGTGGCAAAAAAACAGTGAAACTGAACTTTAAATCTACCTTCTGAGCAAATGGAGGATGTTTCTTCTTGACATTTCAGAAGGATATTTACACCCGATGCCATTAC